ACGGGGACAGTTTTATTTATCTCACTGCTTTACAGGACGTGGTTTCTCCTCAGCCCTGCCAGGGACATGGACACTGCTCGCACTGACAGGGAACCGGCACGGGCTGGCCGCGGAGGTGAGCTGATCGCTCACTGTGCCAACCCTGGTCACCACAACCGGTGGATCGCCTCTCCCACAGGCTAAAGGGAGAAATTCATGTTTCTGTGTTAAGGAACAAACCACCTGTTCAGTAAGCTCAACCCTAAAAGCAACTCTAAATGCCATCGAGGTGCTGAAAATAGGAAACATTCATTTGCAGGATATTTTGCAAATCTACAGTAGTTTAAACAAGCACAAATTCTACCTGCACAGAGCAAAGACAAGAAGGGGAGTCTCCCCTTCTCCTGAAGCACACACATTTAACACTGGTACAGCTCTGTCCCCTGCATGGGCTTTTGGCAGTAGTTCCAGCTTAAGCATTTGAGGGTCATGCCCGGTGAATTATTTGCCTCGTGAACTAGGTTTGGAAGAGAAACTGGGATGTGAAAGTACTATGTCTGCTTTTACTTGTCCTCCTCCTCTGGGAATCACAGAGATTCCCTTTTGCTTCATTAGTCCCCTTCGGGCTACTGCCCTACCGAACCTGTCAGCTATGAGAAATGGATGCTCTTGGCGTTCATCTGCTGAGATGCAGCCTGCGACCACTAACAGCTCTCCTCAGAGGGCTTCTTGGTGCCTTGAAGGATTAACGCTGAAGCAGACGCCCTCTTCTGATGCCGCCACTTGGCCCGCCGATTTTTAAACCAAACCTAGAAAGTGCAAAACAAGAAAAGAAGAACTTTTGCATTTCGTGTGTTACTTGGAGGGGGGCAGGCAGTTACACTCCTGGGCTGTACAGCATAAGCTTTAGGGTACTGCAATATATTTCCCAATATAAAAGTTTGATACAAAATTTAATCAGTCCCTCCCCTGCAATCCTGCTCAGATACATGTAAGGGGCACAAGGGAGCTGGGACCCCCCATTCGCAAATTCAGAAGTCACGCAGATCACATAAGTAAGGACTATACACTCAGGTGCAGGGGATGAGCAGAACTGGGCATGTCTGTGTTTATATAGGTGAACCTAGGAGAGATGGAGTAAGTGAGTTTATGGGACCAGATACCAGAAAAAATCAGCCCAGCAGAACTATTTTACATTCTTCCGTTGCTTGCCACACCTAAGCTGTGTTTTGCCAAATACCCAAGAATGGTTTTTAAAATGAGGCCCTTGGTCTGCAGCTCCCAAAAAAGACAGTGCAATGCCCCGGTCTGTGTTCTCAGGGGCTTGCAGCAAACAGCACCTCACCGAGTGGCAGGATCTCACCTCTACCCTCTCCTCCTTCAAGTGAATACGGTTTGCCAGGTGCTCGCGGGTGATGACATCCGGGTACTGGTTCTGATGGAAAAGCGTCTCCAGGGCCTGCAGCTGATCCTCAGTGAATATGGTGCGATGCCGGCGCGTCCGGCGCTGGATCTGGTGGAAAGTCTGCAGCTTGTTTGGGCTCCCCTGGGGACTCTTGCAGACCCTGACTGCCGAGTGGAAGAGCTGCATGGGCCAGGGGAACCGGGCGTCTGCAGGGGGAGAGGTACAGCAACAGCATTAGAGGTGAGGGGCTGAAACACCCATCTTACTCAAGGTAGTTCAGACACAAGTTGCATCCACACATGTGGCTTGGAAGAAGGCAGCCAGCCAGCTGGCGTGGCTGATGAGCTGCGTGATCACCACGCAAGTGAGAGAAGGGCTTAGGGCATCACTTTGGGAGAAGTGTGCAGGCAGGGAGCACTGGGTGGGTTTTCCTTGTTTACTTACCAATTGCACTATGGCCAGCTCCAGAAAATGGATGGAAACTCACAGCCCAGCTAGGAGCTCTGTTTCAGTCCCGACACGGGGGATTTCTGAACTTGCAGGATGTTCTTGAACTGTATCTTTACGGGTTTGCTACTTTTTTTTTTTCCCCCCCTAGATGCAGTAATTTTGCTAGATGTAGCCAAAAACTCTTTTCTTTAAAGGACAAGTGGGGTTCCCCAGGGCCAGTGTTGTCAGGAAGCACAGGCACAGCTCTGTGCATGGGCGGCATGACCGTGGGGCCCCACGCTCCATAGAGAACTTCAACCCCTAGAAGCATCATCCTCTCAAGTGTTTTACAATAAAACAGTAATATTCAGTAATCAATAGTCTCTGCTGCTTTTAAAAACCTGGTAGCATTGCAGGGAAAAGTGCCTGCTCTTTGGAGCTATGCTGAGAATGGATCCTGCTGCCCCTTGCTGGAGCTGGAGTCTGAGAAGACCACCATGGTGGCAGGCCAGACACTGTATTGTCACTCAACACCCAGGTTTTCCCCTCCACCCGGCGCTGGCACCAGCCCCTCCATGAGCCCTACGCCGTGAAACAAACCCAAACACTCACCCAGCCAACTCGGCAAGTCCTGCCGGGAACGGGTGCTCGTGTGAGAACAGCAGCAGCAGTTGCAGCCTGCCCCTTCCAGCTCTTCCTCCTCCTCCTCCTCTTCCTGCAGGGAGCTGTCCGGGATGGCCTCCAGCTCACACAGCCCCTTGGGTGCGCAGTCCAAGATGCCCCGCAGGCACAGCGGGACCAGGACCTGGGGGCTCTTCTCTGCTGGGCTGGAGAGGATGTCCTCGATGCTGAACGAACACGGCTTCTTGAGGCCTCTCCTGCCAGTGTTCGCATTCCAC